GGAACGGCCAGACTGCCACAAATGGAGCCAAGCTGGGGGAGAGCTGGCAGGTGGCCCTCGTACCAGGCTGCTCATCAGTCTGCCAGGGGGCATGGTGCCAGGCCTGTTCAGACTCCCAGAGGAAAGAGTACCAAGCGCAGAAGTACTGTGGTATTATCGCTGACAAGGCAGGGCCTTTCAGAGACTGTCACAGTCTTGTGGACCCTGTTCCTTACCTGGAGGACTGTGTGTATGATGCATGTCATTATAGTGGTCACCATGGATCAGTCTGCGATGCTGTGGGAGTCTATGTCTCTGCCTGTCAGAGCCAAGGAATCCCCATCGGCTCCTGGAGAACAGATATCTTCTGTCGTGAGTTTGAGATTGTGTTTTGATGTTTTTGTTTCATTTTTGTTTGATTTCAAATCTCTTATTTCAAAATATTTCTTCCATATTTTACCTTGTTCCTCTCTCCCCCTTCTCATCCTATCCCGCAGCAATGGTGTGCCCAGCTAACAGCCATTATACATTGTGTGCCACGGGCTGCCCAGCCACCTGTGCCAGCTTAACCACCATTGCCACCTGCCGCCGGGCCTGCACAGAGGCCTGCGAGTGTGACGAAGGCTACCTGCTGAGTGGGGATACCTGTGTGCTTGTGAGAGATTGTGGCTGCTCCTACGATGGCCACTACTACAGGAAAGGAGATGCCTTCTATCCCGAAAACGAGTGTGTGGAGCAATGCATCTGTGGAGAAAATGGTGCGGTGTCTTGCCAAAAGGCCAAGTGTCGTGCAGGGGAGACGTGTAAGCTTGTAAACGGAGTGAAAGGCTGCCACCCCGAGGGGCAAGGCAAGTGTGTGGCTTCTGGTGACCCTCACTACATTTCCTTTGATGGACGGAGGTTTGATTTCCAGGGTACTTGTGTCTATGTGTTGGCCAAGGTTTGTGATGATGACAATGGCCAGCTGACGCCATTCAGCGTAACTCAGGGGAATGAAAAGTATGGAAATGGAAAAGTGGCTGTGACCAAGTCAGTTTCAGTGGCTATCTATGGTTACGTTATTTACATCCAGCAGAAAGTGCCATGGAAAGTCATTGTGAGTTCAAAAACTTAATCCAAAACATGTTTGGCTACGCTTTTGCATCTTGATTTATTACCTCACAATGATTCTGTTCTCCTCCTCCTCTGTCTGTCAAGGTGGATGACGAACTTCTAAACCTTCCTCTGTCCCTCAACAATGGGCTCCTCAGAGTCACCCAGGAAGGGCGCAACATAATTGTCCGGACAGACTTTGGACTGACAGTCCTGTATGACACTGTCTATTACGTTGAGGTAATCGTTCCTTCTACATACCAGGGCAAGATGTGTGGTCTTTGCGGCAACTACAACAAGAAGGGTGGTGATGACTTCATGCTTCCCGGTGGCAGAAGAACGAACAGCGTGGATGAGTTCGGGAAGGCATGGGTGGTGGACTTGCCTGGCAATGTGTGTGGGGGCTGTGGAGGCCAGTGTCCGGTATGTGAGCAGGCCAAGGCCACCTTGTACAGAAAGGCCGACTCCTGTGGCATCATAAGTGCACCTAATGGGCCTTTCAAAGTCTGCCACAGTAAAATTGACCCAGCGGCATATGTGTCTCATTGCGTGTTTGATGTTTGTGCTCTGGGTGGCAACAAAGATACTCTGTGTAACAGTGTACAGGCCTACGCGTTGGCCTGCCAGAGCGAAGGTGTGAACATCCAGCCATGGAGGAGCAGCTCTTTCTGCCGTAAGTTACACACAACAGTAATTTAGCTCAAGAATTGTCCATATTTTTGATTATTTATATTTCAGGAGCACATACACAAAGTCTAACAAATGTCATCTTATCTTGTAGCTGCTTCCTGCCCTGCACACAGTCACTATGAGGTGTGTGCCGACACCTGTGGTGGGGCCTGTGCCAGCTTTCTTTTCCCACTTACTTGTTCTGAAAGCTGTTTTGAAGGGTGCCAATGTGATGACGGCTTTGTTTTCGATGGCATCCAATGTGTTCTCTTGGACAACTGTGGATGTGTGCACGATGGCAAATATCTTACGGTAAAAGATTTGACTTTGTTTTCATACATAGTAACTGTGCCACAGTTGACAGTTAACCATAAAACAAAATTTAAAAAAAGAATGCTTTCTGTTCTTGTCAAAGCATTCTAACATTAAAAGATATGTTGAACAATTTATTCACCAACCTTGAAGAAAAATGATTTTAAAGTTGTACACAATATATGTTTCCAGGTGGGCCAAGCACTTGTGGATAAAGCATGTACGTCCAAATGTATGTGCCAGGCCTTTGGGATGGTGAAGTGTGAGAAACTGTCATGTGCCAGTGGGAAGGTTTGTGGTGTAAGAGATGGAGTCCAAGGTTGCCACGTCAAACAGGGCCACTGCGGCGTCGGCCTAGACGGCCACCTCACCTCCTTTGACGGCGTGTCTGGAGCCATGGGAGCTCAAGGGGCGTTTGAAGTGGCGTCTCTGTGTGACGAGACCGCGGAGCTGTGGTTCCGTGTGGTTGTGGATGTCAGAGTCTGCAGTAAAGGTGCATCACCCACTGTTGCCACTGTGTATGTGTTCTTCAAGGAAACTGCCGTCACAGTGAACAGCCAACACATGATTTGGGTGAGAAGAGCCGGAAGGGATAATAGTAACATGCCAAAAGTAATCGTTTTGTTGTGGAAACTTTTACTTCAATTTGTTGGTGCCGCTTTTTCCCCGCTCTTCATGTCATCCAGGTAGATGGCAGGAAAATGTCCCTTCCCAGCAAAGTGACGAGTGAGATATCCGTCCAAATCTCAGAGAGGACTGTGATCATCGAGAGAGGATCCACCGTGCGGGTCACCTACTCTGTTTCACACGAGGTCACCGTCATTATTGACAGTAGCCTGTCCGGCAAAATGTGCGGCGCCTGTGGCAACTACAATAACAACCCGAAAGATGATATGAAGACTGCAGATGGGAAAATCACCACTGATGTGTCTGTGGTTGTTGGCTCCTGGAGCGCTGGGGACTTCTCTAGATGGTGAGTTTTTGAAAGCATTTCCTCTGTTTACATGTAATGGGTAAATATACATTGCTACATTTACTGCCATGATAATGATCTCCTTCACTACATGCTCTCATCACAATGTTCCCCAAGTCCTGATGTTAACTTTAATCGTTCTAATAGCGTAACGGCTTCGCCTCCTCGTCTACGCTTTTAACCTTCAATTCTAGTTAAAGTGGAAGTTGTAATCTTGAACTCTATCTTGCCCTTTATTATGCAAACAGCAAACTTAATTTGACCACTGAAATAATCAAGTACAGATCAGCGAGAGATGCCACGGTGCTATGACCATTCAACCGCTCATTCTCTTAACAGCAAGAACTAAACAAGGACTCCACAGAGCCCTTTTAAAGGAATGAGAGTGTGGTTTTTAATTGCATTTGGTCCAATTTAATTAAGAAATGCCAGAGAAACCCCTATGGTAATTACTGATTAAAAAGCAGGTGAGGCTGACAGGCATGGCCATCAAAAGCTACCATGCTTGCAATCCAATCACTGCTTGTCATCCAAGGACACTTAAGACTCATCTGGGTGCAATATTAATTTGAGCCCTCGTCTTTAGTTCTGTGTTCTAGCCTTAAGACAGTCCCTTAGAGAGTTGAGTTTGGTGCGTCCCCCTTCCTCACTTTATTCAACATAGTTGTCGTTTCGCAGCGATTTCTCATCACCAGACCCTAAAGAACACAAGAAAATGCCCCCAAGAATCAGAGCTGCTCCCGAGTGTTTGCATATGCCTTTAGAAATACGATTTTCAGAAGTGTTGCTTGTAATCTCTGTTGTGGCCGAGTGAACATGTCTTTACTTTGCTACTGTGTCCTTTGACTGCAATTTTTCTTTTTCTTTTCAGTGGCCTGTAGAGATGTTGGTTCTCCGTTGATAGAAAGCATCTGGCATGAACTGAGGTTGTTTCCTCTCAGAACCATGAACTGATGCTTCCTCGTGATTGAAACAGCCGTACAATGTGGCTCACATCCCCGCTTTTTACCCCCATTAAACAGGATGAGGAATGTTGTTCGGCTAACGTGTTCTTGTTTACAGACAGTCTTACTCATACTTCAATACTTCCTCTTGATTCGTGAAATGGTTTTGGTTGTTTACTGGCCATCTGGTCCTCTATTGTTCACTTTGGGGTGGTGGAAAAACTCTAGCTCATTCTTGACCAACATCTCCATCTAGTGGAGGAAATAGTAGCGTCTCTGAAATGTATTTTACAAAATGTGTGCTTCTTACCTTTCCAACTAATAAATACTTTTTCATTGCACTGCATGAGTTGTTTGTGATTCCCAGGCAATTTAGTTATATCAGACCTGTAGAGCACTGTCTGTATACCAGTCCAAATTAAAAAGCATGACTCTTACGGGTATGGGTAATAATGTGTGCGCAGCTTCTGCTGCATCCAGCACAGCTGGTGAGGGGAGCAATCCTGTGTAAACTTTACGTTTCAATAAAAAAGCTTTATGCACTAAAGGTCCTTGCTGTAGGAGTGGCAAATAATGTAGTACAACAACAAAACCCACAATGGACAACACCCTGGATATAGCAGTGTGAATTCACTAGATTGATACGGGACCTGCTGACACCAAAGTTTAATCCACCCAGCCATGCGTTTGCTGCTATAGAGGACGGGGGGGGGGTCTGGCAGTTTGGTGTGGGAGAGACCTTGGTTAGGCAGTTTTCATATAGCTGAGAGAGAACTTTATCTCACTGACGGACTGCGCCGACCGTGAGAGCGCACCAGTGTTTATGCTTTCACTTCACTGCGCTGAGCTTGTCTCCAAAGCCTCCAAATTACACCACAGTGCTACAGGCGCGCTGCTTGTGCCTCTTATATTTCGCTGTTGGGGGAAATGAGCACGATTTACAGTTCATTATGAAATCGGGTTTTACTATCTGTGCTGGCACCAAATCACATGGGAGTAATATCTCTGCCCAGGAGCACTGTACTGTTGCCCTCCCTGTGCTGTTTATCTCTGCTCAGGGGAGCTCAGGGTAGTTTAAGAAGGAACTCCAGAGGCTGAGCAATCACACACCCCTTTCTCTCGCTCTCTCTCTCTCGCTAATTCCTGAGGCAAGACCAGGGAGGAACAAAGCTCTACTTGGGGCAAGCGAGTATAGCTACTGAGGAATCTCAACAGAATAATTCCTTTTTAATCACTGCTTTTCATTTTATTTGCAAGCTATAAGAGAAGGTTTTGCGGATCATATTTAATCTCTTGGCTGAAGTAACAAGTGGAAAACTTGTTTATCGAAGTTCGGCTCAGCGGAGGAGAGAAACTCACGTTAGAGCTTACAGGAGGCTGACACACGGTAAGTTCATGTAAATGTACAAACGTATGCTTTGAAATGAACACATTTCCATAAATACAACGCCAAATATGAATACGGCGGAATATTAGTGTTCCAAAACACATCCGCGTGCACAGGATTTTGTCTTGCAGAGCTTTTCCTCCTTTTTTGTTTTAGCTGGGCATTTTGAACACAACTTCCAACCAATCTCCAACTTCCCACTAAATTGTTCTGTTTCACCGTAGTTTACTCATAACCACCGCTCATGTTGATCCCACAAATTTTAATCCACAAGCCAATCGTGTTGTAGGTTTCTTTAATTTACCGTGTTGTCAAGCTGCGCTATCCTGCTTGAAAACGCCACACTATTTGAGAAGTTGAATGGGAGTTTAGTATCACACTGTTTACACTTGAGTCCTGCCAGAAAACTGTAGCAAACAACAATGTTCATTAATCGTTATCGCGTGAATCGGCGAGAACAAAAACGTGAAGTCCCGAGTCCCAAGTTTTAATTCCCAATAGGCCTGTGTCTAACGCGCTGATATGTGTATTTAAAGTGTGAAAGCACTCATATGGACTCGCCTGTAAGTGTAAATGTAAGCAACCCCGCTTTTTAATTACAAACTCTCCATGTTAATCCCACTTTATTAGAATCCATTGTAATTCATTTTTAAAGTGCTGCTTTATGGGCGTGTTTCCTGTCTCTCCATTCTATTCCTCTACATCACTCAGAAGGCAAACAAACAAGATTATTGGATTAGTTGTTGTTGGAATAACTCACCCTGTATTTGTTTGATTAAACTTGATTGGCAGGCCTTTGTTGTTAATCCTGTTCCCAGGGTTGAAGTGTACATTTCTCTCCACTCCAGCTCCGTGTTCACACCCCCACTCTAGTCATGGATGAATCCCCAGCGTTGCTCTGGGCCAGGGAGGGAAACCTTGGCTCTGCTAACGTAGGCTTTGATCTTTGCAATGCAAAACATTTTATTCCAGGGCTTAATTTTTTTTGCAAGCGTGGAGCTAAAGCTGTGCGTACCTGCATTACATTTTGTTGTCGTGCCTTGGGAATTTATTTATATAAATAAATTCCCAAGGCACGGAACTGCGGCAACTGTGTAACAACTGCAACAAGTATGCACTTTGGTCATGCAGTGCATGTGTGGCGACCTTTGCGGCCAATAAGGAGGTGCAGTCTGGATGTGGAACCTCAACATGGGTGTAAAAAAAGAATGTCCTGGATAACATACAGACAGAAAAACAGCCCCATGGTTCGTGTTCCATTTGTAAACTAGATGACCCAGCAAAACAGGTCCGAACCCACTGACCAAATAGCACTTGCAACACAACACCGGCCTTGCCGTGCACCCCTCAACTCTACTGCTGGAGTACTGAGGCGCTGAGCCTGAAATAGACCCTCTTCTCTAGAGTCAGGAGGCCCTGTTATTTAGAAACGTATCCTGATAACGTAACGTGGTCTAGCTGAGATGGAGCTTTGTGTCCCTACCAGGCATGCTCTCATTGAAGGGGCACAAATGAAACACTTATTCAGATGCATTTTGGGACATGTCAGATCCAGTGTTTTTGGAGCTATATTTCATTTTTATTTTGACTATTCCTTTCGATATAAAACAATTAGAGCTGCAACAATTAATCGATTAGTTGTCAGATATGAAATTAATCAGTTTCAGTAATTTCAAGTCAAATTCTCTGATTCCAGCTTCTTAAATGTGAATATTTTCTGGTTTTATTACATGCTCTGTGACAGTAAACTGAACAACTTTTAGTTGTGGACATAACAAGACAATCATTGACATTTTTAGTCATTTTCTGATATCAAACAACAAATCATTTTATCGAGAAAATATTTGACAGACTAATTGACAATGAAAACGAATCGTTAGCTGCAGCCCTATTAACAATATAGTTTAATGCAAACAAGCTGGTTGGTAAATAAACCATGTTCTTCCATTTCTGATCCCTTACTGTTTTCGGACAACAACTAGTCCTCACCAACCTTAAACTGGCTGTTTCTGAGAGGTATTAGAGGGGAGTTGCGAAAGATTTTCGCAACAGCCATCTCTCTGTTCTCAGCAAGGCTGTTTATAAGTTGCAGAGTTATTTTAGTCTAAAGGGAGTCAGTGAGTTACAAAGTTTATCTGTAAGTCGCATAAAAAAAGCCTCAACTTTCTTTTAGCCCAGCACATTGCCCTCATAAAACAGCAACTACCCCAACAAGTGAGCATATTTATTACTTGTATTTATTGTTGTGTACTTTTCCTTGTTGTTTCTTATCAGCAGGTACAATGGATCTTGTGGTCTTGGTTGCGTTCAGCTCCTGGCTGGCTCCTGCACTCGGTGAGCATCCGTTTCACTAAAGGTGCAGCGGCTTTACGCTGTTCCCTCTATGAAAGCCAGCTGTGTGAGCGTGGTGTTCTTCAGTCGCTTCCCCTTTCTGTAGCTTTGGTTGTGTTTTTAAGTTCCTTCTACTTAAACCAGCTGATGTGTCTGTATAACATAGGCATTTGGCAGGGAGGTGTTTGGTAAGTTTCCTACATTCCTACTGTCAATGCATGGCCATTTGATTTCCAGTGACCACTTATTTGAAATGGCTGCTTGCCATTGCTCTTGCTGCTTGTTCTCTTTTCGGTCAAATGTGTATAAAAGGCCTTGTCTCGTTGTTAGCATTGCAGTGATGCTGTTTTCAGTATAACTTCCATTTCATATTTTCCATTTTAAATAATTTCATGTCAGGGTTTTGCTACAGCCATGTCAGAATAGTGTAAATGTTTGCATAAACTGCAGTTTGAACAATCATTTATTCACACAGCTGCCAAGTTTCTGGTCTTTGATTTGTTTCTCTTTGAGATAGATCCCTGTTTTTTTTAGTGTCCTCTCTGACTCTCAGGTCTGTTAGAGTCTGACCTTGGTTTTTAAAGGTGGAATAAGTTGCAATAAGCAAACTTACACTTCAAGTCTACTGACATTTGGTTAACAGATTATCATTTTACTGCATTAAACATCAGTTTAAAGTATATACATAAGCACAACTAGGACTGGCTGACATTTAAAAGCTGTTCACAGTCTGTTGAACATTTTAATGAAAGCTGTAAAAAGAACGCATTAATGATTTGAAATGTTGCCCGGCACAAGTAGAAACGTTATAATGTAACATTTAATGTGCTATTCCAAGCTTAAATGCCCCCCCCCCCAGACACCTGTGGTCATTATAAACAATTGTTTATAATGTCTGGATTGTTGCTCGCCCTTTTGGGCCTCTCCACAGAGTGAATTTGCCTCACGACCATCAATGTTACCATTTGCTGACATGCACTTACACCACCATGTGAATGTCTTATAAAGATTAATGATTTTTGAAACTTTTTTCACAGCCTCAGCGGCAGATGAGGACAAAGGTGGGTATTATTTGAACAGAAGCTTAGACAAGTCAAATTAAGATAAACTGCACACTCATTCTAGCTGGCATATAAATTGGCACACCAAACGGGCTAATGACTAGATGGATGACTGAGGCCCTTAAAGTGCTGAATAGCTGTCATATCATGAGTGCTCTCTGAAGTGTGTCAGTGGGTAAATCTGCTTCTCATTTGTTTCCTCTCTCTGTTCTCTCCTACCAGACAGTGACAGTGCTTTTAATTACGGTGAGTGTTTAGCAGATGAACGGGGCCTTTTAATGTCCGACCCTCTACGCAGGAAACATCTGGGAGTTCCAGATGAGAGAGAGTTTGCATTTTCCACTTGTTTTTTCAGAAGTGACGGAAAACCGTCACCCCGAGGCCAAGCTTCTGGAGTAGTCCCACTGCGAATACTTCTCATCCTGTCCCCTGTGTCATTGATTTTAAGTCCATCTAAGGCACTGACGTGCAAAAAATGACTCAAAGTTTCTATACCGTCAGTGTACTGGATGTTTTTCAGTTTCATTGGCCAACCCCGGCAGTTAGCGTCGCACTGGTTTCTTTGAGAAGTCAGCGGGATTTTTCCATTGGATTTTGGATTACTGCTGAAAATAAGCTCTGTGACAAACACAAGTTTATGATATTTACACGTTTTGTTCATTAAGACAATCTTCACAAATGAACACCACGATATTTTTGTATTGTAGATTAAAATGTGAAATATCTCTTGTGCTTGTGTTGCAAACTGACCAAAAACCCATAAAAAAAACCCATTGACTCTGAGAAGAGAGATCCGGAAGTGCAAAATGACAACTCATTTGCAAGACTTAAGACTCATTCCTGCAGCACTCTATAGGCATTTTTGGAAGTGTTCTCCACACCCATTTTGTACTATTCCAACCATAGTATGTAGCCCTATTGAAAGACCATAAGCAGTGGTTTCCAACTCAGGGGTAGGGATTTCTTAGGGGGTCCCAAGATATATCTGAGGGGTCACGAGATTATTAACAGGGATAAGAAAGGGGGGAAAATATACTTTTGTTACACAAATTTATGTTTATTTTTCTCAGATTTGTCTTTTTTCTTATGAAGTTGTGGGTATTTTCATCTCCTCTGACCTTCCTTAGAATTAAACAACCTTAGGTCAAAGTGTTTGCAAGGGATCTAACATATGCCAAACCTCATTTTAAGAGGTCACATGCCAAAAGGTTTTGGAACCACTGCACTAAAGGATTGATGAACAATTCTGGCAGCTAAGAAAACAACAGTAGCCAATTCTTACTCTTTTTTTTTTTCCCATAAAAAAAAAATATTTGTTTTAGTTTATTGTAGTCAATATGTATTTGCTAATGTCTGCAGATAGTTGCCATCTTGCTCGGTAACTTGTTAACTAAACAACACAATGCTTGATGCATGTTCACAAAGCTGTGATCCCCATAAACAGTATGTTATCATTCATGTCATAAACAAGCAGACCCTGTCCCAGACTAACTGCTCCCTTGATTTTGTTTCAATTGATGGAAACACAGACATGTCATATTGCTTCTACACAAATACAGAGTTAAAGTTGGCCATGGTGTTAACAGTTTTGGTGACTGCAGCTCACAGGAATTTGTGGTGTCCCGTGACCATCAGGGGGCTGCAAAAAAATGTCTGCAATGCTGCTCTTGACTCAAAATGTGGTAAAAAGCTTAAAAGCGTATGGTATTTTGTATCTCAAAGCTGACACATGTTACCATGCACTTCTGCAAACATAACAAAGAATTTTTTTTCATTTCAGATTACGAATCTCTGAGAATCGGTGGCCTGGTTTTCGCAGTGGTACTGTTCATCATGGGGATCCTCCTCATTGTCAGTAAGTGTTTGACCACCTTAAGTACACAGCGGATGTGTAGTGCTGAGTGTCAGCCGTCACCACACTGTGATCCCTGTATGTGTGCAGTGACCTCGCAGTCTCTCTCAGAGGTCTGAAAGGGAGGCACACTGATGCTCACAATTCCAGCATTCAATGGTCATGGTCCGTGCATCAGAGCAATTTGCCCTTTACATCTTATCCCTTTCCTCAATCATAGTGTCCTTCCAAGGTTCCTTCTCCTCAACTGCCTGCACATGCGGTCACTGCCAGTGCTAGCCCTGAAACCAAAACCAACCAATAAATAATTAATTGGGACCCAAACACTCTTTGTGTTGAAGAACATTCTTCAACACTCTGGCTCCTGTATTGTGGGGAAAGTTCAACAAGCAAACATATAAGGCCTCCCAAGACGTGCTGGCCAGATGGGTTTGTTGGCACAAGCTCAAGACTGTAATCATGCACCCATCAAGGCTTGGAACAACCTCATCCTCTTTTAATAGCCTAAAGGGGGTGGCGTTAGGGGACTGTTAAAGCGGCATACATTCTTTTTATGATGTCTCATGTTCATTTTGTCGCAATTTTTTTCTTGTGTTTTACCCCCAAAACAACAGCCCGAAAATGTACCTGTTCATCAGGTGACAAGTCAAGGTGAGTGAAGTCCAAGTAAAACCTGTAAAAACCAGACCCTTCTCTGTAAAACGGATAAAACATCCCTCCAGCCTGATTATCTGTTAATATTCCTCAGGTCCAGAGGTCCTGATGTGGAACGAGGTGTTCCTCGGGGTAAATATTTTTCTTTCTATTATAATAACTATATCAAGTAGATTTATTGCCTTTCTTTTGAAATAAAACAGTAATCTAAAACTCTTTCCACAGCTTCGTAGACACAAAGACAAAGAGCAACGGAGATCTGGTTAGTGTCTTGTAAACATCTGCGAATCTATTTGCTGCAAAGGGAGGCTAAAAGCGATTTTTTTTTTTTTTCAGAACAACTCAATCTTGTTCTCCACCTCTTCCCACAGTGTTATCGACTTACCATTAGGTGGCAGCAAATACCTTGATCACAGCAGAGGACAATCTTTCCATGAACACAACAAGCTTCCTTCAATTTCTTAGTGCTGCTCTGTGCTCCTTTTTTTCCTTTTTAATGTTTTTATCATCAATTGCTGTTATTAGATAATGAGCCAACTTTATATGGTGGTAGTGTAGTGTGGTAAAAGTGTGATTCTCATTTGTATTTTTATGACTTTCAGATTGATGCAAAATATTAAAACACATCTTTGAAAAGGTTCCTTCTGCTTTCATGCATCGTTCTTTTGTTCTCTGCCGTTAGGAGCAGACCAGCAGCGGACAGCTCTCTATTTTGCTGCACTCCCACTTCTGCTGACTCTGCAGACACTTCAGTTGCACATGCAGTAGTAACCACCAGCAGTGAGACTGTGAATGATTTATGTGCTGCACTATGCAGTATACTTGGAAATGGGCTGTCTTTAAAAAAAAAAAAAGACTTAATTTGACCTATCCCTCTTTTCAGTGCTGTTTTTATTGGCAGATTTTCAACCGTAGTGATTATAGCAGCCCCTGCGAGAGCAAAAGCTGCGTATGCAGACTGTATTTTCTCCCTGGTGTTGCAGGAACGGTCTGACTGCACTGCACAAAAGAAAGCACATGGAATAGAAAATGGTGCATATTGAGCATGCAAGCAACGTTTCTAAAAGGCATTATAAACTACAAACTGATGAGAATCTGGTGCAAAATCCACAATACGGACAGATTACAGCATCGATTCTTAAATATCCAAAATACCTTAATTTATTCACACATGCAGTTAACACCCCCATACTCTCGCATGCTCCACAGAAGACTATGATACTCAGCAGAATGTTATACATACTACCTTATAGTAGCATTACATTAGCTGTTTACCCTTTTATTCAATGTAATTTTGGGCTACTGTGGCGACCCACTATCCCCTGTACTGGCAGATCTGGCACTCTGTGGGTGTAACCCTTCGTTGTGAATGCAGTGTTTTGCTGTGGCCACCAGAGGGTCCCTGCTGAGTTTGCAGAGAGGGTTCTTAAGCAGTTCTGCATGCTGTCCTGTCCAGCTACCTCGATTCATATCCAACCTTAAACTGCATCCTGCTAAATTTCTGGGAGACGGAGATCCTCTACATCTCTACAGTGCAGCCATGGCCACCAAAGGTTTGACTGTTTTTTTTTTTCTTCTTTTATGGGATTTCCAAGGGTGTAACATGCATGAAACAGTTTGTCAGATTGTCTGAGTTTAGAATGAATTACTTGTTTGGTTATTAAATGTGTAATCATTTTTTTTTTGATTTGTCATTTTATTTGAATGAATGAAACAAATTGTTTTAGTTTCATACGCATCTTTAATTTGCCTGCCGCATTGTTGCTTCAGTGCCAAGAGCCAATGTACTAGTGATGCATGGATCAGTGTTATAACAAAGGGAGTTTTTCCGCAAACTCACTGCGATGAATAAATGAACAAAACTTAACATGTTTCTCTGAAACTGTAAAGTCTTTGTCGCAGAGAGAAAACAGCGGAAATAAATACAAACTGCCAGCTCAGCCACTTGGGTGTGAGGGTTCAGCATCAATGCAAGCCGCAATATCGACGTCCAGATACTCTAACAATCTGGCATCGGTGTAGCCTAAACACGCTTATATTTGCAAAATCACTGTGTTGGTTGAGAGTAGAGTTTTCTTTAACAGTGTTAATGGGTCAAAAAAGATAAACATAGCAGTCATTTCAAGTGGCTTCTTCAACTTTTTTATTGAATCTCTCTTTGTTTCTCTGCTGCTGTGATGATACCCCTGTATCTTGTTGCTGGCTTGGAACCCACTTTTTTCATGGTGCGTCTTTTTCTGCTGAGCAAAGATGCTGCATTGAGCTCCTCTCAGTGGACAAAAAAAAAATACTCCTGAGGGGTTGTGTAGTCAAGCCTGCAGATCTGAAGAGCTGCAAACCTTGCTGTCTATGGTGCTGAACTGAACACACCTTTTAAGCTTATTGCTGTCCCTTGAGCCGCACTCAAAGTAACATTTTTAGTCTGTTTTCTATAACCGCCCCTTCTCTGTCTCTGCAGAAACTATGTTTCCAGACCGAAGTGACTTTGATTATGGTAAGACATACACCATCTTCTACTTTCATAAATCAAAAACACCATGTAAAACATATGATATTTTGTACTTTTTACTACAGTATGTTTCACGTTCATAATAAACCCACCCCTATAAAGTCCCATGCGGTTATGTCCCTTGTAGATTATGAGACATTGCGGACTACGGGGGTTGTCCTTGCAGCAATCATGTTTGTATCTGGCATTTTAATAGCCCTCAGTAAGTTAAGACTTTCTCTCACATAATACTTGAATACAGAGGCTTAATCATGTATACGTGATGACCTGTACCTTTGTAACTAATCTATCATTTTCCAAACAGGTAAAAAATTCACAAATTGTGTAAAATCCTCATCCAAGTAAGAATTGTGCAAAGCTCAGTGGATGATCCGCCTGCGCATGCTGTATGAATTTGACTTGAAGGGAATACCCGACCAAACATCTTCTTGTTCTTTGACTAATACTGAGTTTCCCACAGCTTTTCCTATCCCTGCCCTGGATGCCTGTTCTCAGAATACCCCCATTCCTTCTTCTGCATACTCAACCCCAAAACACACTTCCAACACATTAAACATTTTTTTACACAGAACCTCGTATGACAAATGACGTTCTCTTTATCTCAGTGCTTGCTCCTAAAATGTATGCATCACACTCCTCGTGTGTTGGTAGTGACTGGGTATATTGATCTGATATGAACTGATTGCATGCTGCTTTTATGGCGAGATGAGATGAAAGACGAGGGCTGCTACTTCTCAGTTACTTCAGAACCCTGTGGCTGCAACTGTTTTTGGATCCTGTAACCCGGATAATGTATACTCGTGATCAAATCCAACTCCAGCTCCAAGTTGAAGTTGTGGCCACAGTTTTCAATCTTTACTTCAGTAATCCTAAACAATTAAAACAATTCAGATACTTACTAATTTCACTTTTTCTGTTTGCAGTTCCAGCTCATCTGGTACCCAAATCCCAAAGACAGAGGGTAAATTCACTTCACTGCTCAGGATCATTATGTGCTTGAATTCAATTATGTTCACTTTCTCTCTGCAATTCTGATATTTGTTTCCTTTTCTTTTGCAGTGCCTCCTCAAACTGTATAGAAAATATAGTATCTACTTGAAATGGAGGACATCGTTACAGGAACCACGCCAGCGAATACACACACACACTGATTATTTATGGCCATCCTGTTTGGCTGATATACCTCTGCCAGCGAGATGATCAACAAGGTTTTCCAACGCATCCTAACCTGGTTTTATTGAGTCTCCCATGGAATTATGTAGAAAGTCTTTCAATAAGTGATCAAATATCAGATTGTTCATTAATATGCGAGTGTTGGGAATAAAAGAAAAAAATAATATGACCAACCATGAAACTTGAAAGGGTACTTTTAATCAAACAAATGCAATAATTGTTGTTGCTCTTCTTTACATCTGACTCCTGTAAAACAATTAAGTTAAGAGCATGATTGAATATTCATAAACTAGCAAAATCTCCAGATCGAAAAAAAAGGAACTGCACGCATTGATCAATTGTAGCAATTGTCTTTTGTTGTTATTTTTCTTCATTTCTGTTGATATCTTCTTTTTTCTAGCATGACAAAATAATGAAGAAACTAATAAACAGAATCAGCAAAAATTGAACATGCTAAAATGAAATCGCTAGCATAATATATTGATGAAAAATAAAAGACAATGTTCAGTTATGTATTTTATTTTATAATGCTTTGGAAAATGATGTAATACAGTGTTTGAGTTTGCTTATAAGTAATTCATTCTGTTTGAATCTCAAGGCAAAGGTACGAATCATTATGTTACCTGTAAAGCTGGAAAATGAAACCCCCGTTTCAAATAAAGGTCTTGTCTAGTCAGGATGATTTTATCAGTGTCTTTTAACAATGTTATCATTATATACAATATCCAACATTAGTATTAGGTTGTTTATTTATGAGATTGATATTTCCTGTTTACTTTACAGGAATTTATATCATCTTACAGAGATGACACATAAGTGAGAGGCAGATCGAAACCTAATTAATCTCTCAAATTACAACAAAAAACAAACCTCACTTCATCTGTGACTAAGGTTTATTATCATTGCAGTAAACCTCAGTGGAAATTATGCTCGACAATTATAATCCTCTTGACACTATCCCTTTCTAGTGGGATGATGTATTTTCCATCTTGGAAAACATTTAGATGGAGCTTTAAATACAAGTGTTACTGTACCTTTATTCATGACTCATGACTAAAATGTACAGTTAGTCAGACAATTTGTCACCTCACTTACTCACGTAATTACTCTGTGAAAAGAACATTATTTGTCACAACCAGTTTCAAATACATAATAGTTTTACATACAGTCAAGTTTCTTTTCCCACAAAGAAAAGTTGTACTTGATGTTACACATGTAAGTATGATGCATACAGATAGAGAGTTAAATTATGTGATAGCTCCTTTTCATTTTTACCACACGCATTCTTAACATAAGTACACATGCTGACCGAAATCAAAACCATCACTCAGTGTATCAATATGATGACTTGTCATGATGGGGGGGGTTTTGACAAGAGTGTCAGAGGGGTTTCAGGGACATTGTCCTGGAGGTCATACAAACGATTTCATAGAAATCAACGTTAAACTGGGAGTGTAGCCTGTCAGAGAAACGAATACCACTCCACCTTCCACAGCGACGTCTATAACCTCTGCTGTTAGTAGATGCTCTTCAATTCTGTTCGTTTAATAAAAGCTTTCATTTCCAAAAGTTAAATATCCATTTTGATAAAAATAAATACATAAATTAAAATGTCTGTTATAGTCGGAACAGTTTAAACATTTTGGAATGAAATTCTTTGCCGACACATGAATAATTCGGCCTACGCGTAGAAAAATAAATAGAGCCTTTTTTACAGACACCAAATCGCAGGTAATTTAAGACTCATGAATTATATCCAGAGATTAATATGACAAACTAGTTTGTTAACAATATATAGGCCAGAGATTCCCAAAGCAACATAATAATAAACTGTAAATCCCCTTCTTAACAGAGGCAACATCTTAACAACTCATTCCCTCCAAATGGGGATTACAAGTGGGGATTTCCATGTCATTCCTGGTTCTGCAAGGACACGATACGTCGACGAGAGGAAGCACTTCGTTTCTTCAGCATGAGCTTGAGCTAGAAATTGAAACATACATTAATGATAACTAACCCTTGGCAAAAACTGAAACAGTGCACGTCTGGCTGGCTGTCAACAATGATGAGCTGCTCACCTGCTCTCCCTGGGGGCCGCTCTGCAGCAGGTGAGCCGGCTGGTCGTTCTCCAGGTTGCGGATACTGGGATCGGCTCCTCTGCGCAGAAGCAGCTGCAGGATCTCCTCCTGGTGGGGGTTACCATGGAGACCTGCTGCCATGTGTAAAGCCGTGTGACCATGCGCCTATATGCAAAAGGGGGGAAATGCAGCATGACTCAGACTGTTTATAGTCAGGTATGTATACAGTATATACTTGGAAATTCACATAAACCCACAAACACTTGCATTTTTAAAATCCAGTTTTGGTTTTGTGCCAGAGTGGGACTCACTTTCAAGTTGACAAAGTCTTTCATGTTCGACAGGGGAATCCTCAGCAGATAAGTCACCAGATCGATGTTCCCTTCCTTTACTGCCAAGTGCAGCACCGTCTTGTTACTTTTGATTTCCTGGAAGTGGATGAGTGAAAACCGCAGGTCAGACTGAAACATTTAACTAGGGGGGGGGGGGGGGGGGGG